TTTTTTTCTACCACCCGTGCAATATTGGGTAACTTTCTTCTTTTCCTTAGGTCTCAGTTTCTTCACTGTTTTAATAAAAAGGGATAGGGATTGGATTAGTTTGTAAAATCATAGATTTGGAGCTGTAAGGAACCTTAGAGGCCATCTGTTCCAATCCCCTTATTTTACAGATGAGGAAACTGAGGCCCAGTGAGGTCATATGGATCATTGCTTCATAGATTTCGAGCTGGGAAGGATCTTAGAGGTCATCTAGTTCAGTCCCCTCATTTTGGGCAAGTAACTTCATGTCTCTGAACTTCTGTTTACCTTCACTGAAACAGATGGCAAGATATAGATCAGGATGACTGGAGGTGGCCCCCAATTCAAAAGTAAGAATGTGTTTGATGGCTATCCTGAGAGCCTAGGACAGTGCCTGGCATACATGAGGTGCTTAAGTACTGCACATTGATTGCGAAATGTAAGCCCTTTGAAGGAAGGAACTATTAATATTTTACCTCCGTATTCCCAGCATCTGGATTGTGCCTGAAATATAGTTAAGTGCTTAAATAACTGTTGATTGATTGTAAAATGTGTGTTCTTTGACAGAAGGGACTGTTAATATTTTATCTTTGTATCCCCAGCACCTAGAACTGTGCCTAGAATACAGTAGGTGCTTAATAACTGCTTGTTGATTAAGCATAAATTAAGATAAAGAGTTGCAAGGTCTTTGAAGGAAGGGAATGTTAGTATTTTATCTGTATCTCCAGCATCTGGACTGTGACTGAAATACAATAGGTGCTTAATAACTGTTTGATTGATTATAAATTATGAGATTGTTGATTGTAAAATATGAGCTCTTTGACAAAAGGGACCATTTCCCCAATACCTAGGACTATGCCTGGCACATGGGAGATACTTCATAAACACTTGTGGAGTGGCCAGGTCATGATGTAGGCATCTTCCATGTTCCATGGACTTTCAAGTATAGTGCAAAGAATTCTGGGTTTGGAGTTAGAAGATGCAGATGTCCATTGTTTCTCGGCCACTAAATGCACATATAACCGTGGTTGACTTCTTCAGCGCTCTGGGCTTCAGACTCTCTTCAGTCTCTTCCTCTAGAAGATGAAGGGTTTGGACCCTATAATCTCTAATATTCCTTCTACTTCTAAATCCCATGATCCTTGCTAGGACTGGAGGGCTTCTACACACAGAAGAGAATAGGTTTTAGCCAAATCAATAACACTGACACAGCATGGCATGGTGGAGAGAGAGAGATCTGGTCTTGGAATCTCAAGAAGGCCTGAGTTCAAGTCCCACTTCTGACAAACCTTGGTTGTGGGATCCCACCTGCAGTTCTTAACTCTAATAAAACAATAGTCTAGTCCCATCCCCTCCCACTTCTCCCCCCCAAAAAAAAAGAGAGGAGAAACCAAGACCCTCTCCCCCTTCATTGTTCCCTTTCTTCAATAAATATTTTGCTGATATTCACTGGGTCCCTCCTTTTTCATGTTATAAATGCTTTCATTCTCATGTTTCTTTGTGTGTAGAGATAGTTATGTAAAAATATGTTTGTATGTCTGTATAGTCCCACTGCAGCTTTAAGTAATTAAAACTATGTTTGAAAGACTTTTGGGCCACACTGTACATGGGGTGGTATAGTGGTTAGAGAGCCAGCTTCAGACCAAGGTCCATTTTCTCTCTCTGACCTTGGGTAAGTTATTTAAACTTGTCCTGCCCCTAGGTACTCTCTAAGATTATAAATTACAAAGGTAATGCTGAATTGGTGGAAGAAGTTTTCACACTGGGAGTTCCCCACACCCAGAAGAAATTGGAGTCAGGATCAGAAAGTGTGCTTGTAGGCATGCTTTTGTAAGCGTTCTCTCCTAGAGATGCCAGTTTGTCATAGTAGATAATGACTTTCCTCCTTCTCTTTCCCCCTTCTCTCCATGATATCAGCAAACATTCCTAGAGGGGATTAAACGCAGGAGCATCCAGCGAATGGAATAAACACATTTTATAACCGAGTCACTGAAGCATTCTTCATTGGCCCACATTCGGTGGCTCTGTTCTTTTCACCAGTGAGACACTTGCCCTCAATTGGGTCAGATCATGTGGAGTCTGGCTTTGGGCCCAGTCCAGATGTGATCCAATGAGGATCCTCAGGGGGTCTCTTTACTGGCCTATCTGGGGACCTCACTGAGCACCAACAAGGCTGCTGAAGGTGTCTGTCTGTGAGCTAGATGCCTGGATGCTAAGGATCTCTCAGAATGGTGGAATTTCAAGTAGGGGCCCAGCATGGCAGCCTAAGAAAACCCTCTTGCTTGGCCTTGTGATAAGAGCAATTTGAAATAGGCTCATTACCAGGGAAGTTATTGCTTTTGTTAAAAATGGCCCATCTGAGAAAGACTCCATTAAAAAAAGCAGTTTGCTGATAATAATGGTCTTTAGAGAGATCAATTAGACCCTGGGTTAGTTCCCTTTACTTCAAGGACTGGACAATGGAATTAGTGCTGGAGGTCAGTTGTTCTTTAAGGTCCCTTTAGGATTTAAAGCTGTGCTCCTGCAGGGAGAAAAGTCTTGTCCAAATCCAGGTTCTCACACTGGCTATGTGACACTCAGTGAGTCACTTAACTTCTCAGTGTAAAATCAGGAGGGTTAGATTTGATGACTTATAAGGATCCTGGCCTATGAGTCACAGCACGGCACTTCTCTGGGCCTCAGTTTTCCCATCTGTAAAATGGGCATTTACTGTACTCACCTTACAGGGTCGGTTTAAGGGAAGGCAGGCACCTCCTCCCTTTGCCTCTCAAAATCCATTGAAGTTCAGTTAAGGTGTCCCCTCTTACAGATGCACCTTCCTGATCCCCTCTCCCACTTCCCAGCTACTCACCTGAAATTATTTTGTGTTGACATAGGGTTTATATTTGCTTATCAAGGATTGTAGCTTTAGAAACGGAAGGAATTTCATTGGTGAAGGGTAGAGAGCTGGAAGGAGCCTCAGGCCAGCTGGTCTAACTCCCTAGTTTCCGGAAGAGGAGACTGAGACCAAGGAAGGTTAAGCAGTTTGTTCAAGGCCAAAGAGGTAGTAAGCATTGGAGCTAGGCTTTGTTCCAAGTTGTCTGATTCCAGAGCCCTCGAATCTCTTTCCCTTGGGCATAATGATGATAATAGTTAGCATTTATATAATACTTTAAGGTTTCCAAAGTGCTTATACATAGAGCAGGTAGCTGAATGCCCTCATTTTATATATGAGAAAACTGAAGCTTTAAGTGACTTGCTTTTGTCCCCATAGCTAGGAAGTGGCATAGTCAGGATTTGATCCCAGGTCCTGCAAGGTCAAATTCAACCTCTCCTTCCACTATATCATTCTTGTTGTTCATGTTTTTTTTCTCTTCTGTAGAATATGAGCACCCCGAGGGTAGAGACTATTTCATTGTTGATGGTGGTGGGCTTTTTTGGTTTGTTTTTTATCTTTGTATATCCATTCTTAGCGCACAGAAGTTACCTTAAAAATGGGGTTGGGTTTGGTTTTTTTCCCAAGTCCTTTAGTGTATTGAGCTGCTGTGTTTCAGGTTTCTTCTGGCTTTGACATCATGCCATGGACAGATCCCATTGGGCCAGGAAGTGGCCTGGGCAGCTGAGAGGCAGAGTTGGTTGGCTCATTTGTGCCTGACTCTGGTTCAGAGACGTCCAGGCAGAACAAGCCTCAGCAGGAAATATCACTGAATTGCAGCTGGAAGGCTTTCTTAGTGAGTTAATGAATCAGAGGAAAAGATGGCTTCCAAGGATCTTACATGAATGATGTGACCTGGAACCCTTTTTGACTAAAATGCTGTGCAGAGTCAGACAGATGGGACCCTATGTGCCAAAGCATATGATAATTCAGCTATCTATGGAGGTCAGTAGTTGACCGTGGGTACATCTTTGCATACTGGTACCTCTAGCCAATTGGGATCCTTTCTTCTGCTGCCTCTTCTGTCTTTCTCACTTCCTCTTGTTTTTGGAGGTGGAAGGAAAAGTACCTGGTTATTCTCAGTATTATCTATTGATGCCTTTTCCACTTGGGCATCAGCCTTGGTGTTTCTCCCAAACTTGGAGGTTTGTAGCTTGACCATGTGGGGTTCAAGTGGTTAAAACCAAAACAAAAACATGGGACCAGCTCCTGGGCCATGCTGTTGGGACCCTGGAGGCAGAACCTAGCTGCTACACCTTGTAGCATCTTTAGTGCAGTCTCAACTGCTTCCTTTTTACTGTTCTAATTAGCTGGCATGGTCTGCCCTTGAGATTTTTTTTTGGTTGGGAAGATTTTTCCCTAGATGAGCAAAACCTCTTAATAGTAAAGAATGGCTGCTTGTCGTTTACTACCATCTGTAGTTGGGAGAGGGGTCTGTTCTTAAATTCAACCCTTTTGAATAAACTGAGGCTCACTGTTAACTTAAAAAAGAAAATGAGAGACAGTGCTCTGTAGTTTTATTTCCCCATCCCTGCTCCATGACATCAAGCTTCACCCTCCATTTGTTGGGAGATGTGCCCAGGACTTTCTTCTGAGCTGTCTTGAATTTCTTCTTTTCCATTTTTAATGAAATGTAGACTTCTTTCGCTCTCTCTACTATAAAGTTAATATGTTTGAAAATGGGTGATTGTTGGCACTATTGTGTCAGGGTGCTGAAAGAGGTAAAGTGAGATTTCATCAGTTTGCTGAGTATCTGTCACAATGGCAGAGATTTAAGAGTCCAAATCCTAATCTGTGTGACAAGTCACTGGGCAAGTGACTTGAGGTGTCCAAGCCTCAGTTTTTCCATCTTTAAAATAGGTAGGTTGGAGTTCATGTTTTCTCCAGTCCCAGCCCAAAATCTATGATCCTGTGTGCTGTGTCTTGCACAAGACAATTATTCCCTACACTCAATCCTTCTGAATAGAAGACACTGTGATGAGGCTGAGACACAAAGTCTGTGATGTCAGTCAGCTGTGCTCTTGGGTGTAGATAGGAATCCTTCAGAGAAGACTCCTTCTTGTTTTAGATGTGCAAGAGCTCTGGATTACTCAGATATTCAGAAGATTTTGAACTTGAGGTCACCAATTGGCATCTAGAGCTGGTCCCTGCAAAGGAATGTGACGGGCATCTCATCTGAATGAAAAGAGCCGAGGCTTGGGTACCAACCCCACAACTTACCAACAAGGTCAACTTTTTAAAATGTTGTTTTTTTCAATGCACAAAAATCTATTTTTTCTTCCTCCCTCTCCCTAATTAGAAAAAAACAAAACAAAACTCCTGTAACAAATATTTATAGTTGAGCAAAACAAACTCCCACATTGGGATCTGGCCAACTTTTCCATCCATTTTCACACAAATTCCAAAGTAACCTGTGGAAAATAAAGGACTTGGGCATAATCCCTAAGATCCCTCCTAGAGCTGCTCTTCTGGATTTCTGAGTTGGGGGCCCTGTTTTCCTATGGGTGCTTCTCTGGCTGGGGTGTGTGTGTGTGTTGCCCACTGCTTTGTCCCGTTTTTCTACCTGTCCTGTCAGTCTCTCCAGAATATTAAAATCATTCTGCCTCTAACTATTTGTTAAATGAATGAATGGATGAATGGATGAATGAGTGGATGAATGAAAATGGGAGACCCAAAAAGTTCCCTCTTGGTCTGTGAGGGAGAGTTAGCAATTTCCCCTCCAAGAGCTTTGGAAAACCCCCACCTGCCCTGTGGGCTTTGTTTATTTGTGCTTTAATCTTCCTTTATTACTTGGGGAGATCAGCTCCACTCTCACAAAGAACAGGGTGAGGGTAAATACTGTATGCCACTGAAGTAATTAATGTGCTTTCTACCAGCAAGGGACTGTGTAATTTGCAGGAGTGTGTGTGGGGACCCACCCTGCTAAATTTATACCCTGTAATTTGCCCACATTCTCTGGCATTGACTTGGCAGAGTGGTAGGAGCCCAGCCTACCTGCTTTGCAATTATATCTCCTCTACTGGTATTATGGGATTGAGTAACTGGGGGAAATGAGAGCTCATTTATTTAAGTAAATTAGAGCTCGCTCCCGGGGCCTAATCTGAGATCGCTTCTTGTAGGTGAGCTTGGTCAATCTTGAAATCCTTTTTATAACTCAATTTGTTTCAGCAAAAAATTACTAAGCAGCTACTATGTGCGGAGAATTGTACTAGGCATGGAGGCTATAATGTAATAATGAAATGCTCCCTGGGAGGAGGAGTTTTTTATTTTCCTCAGGTGGGGGAGGGAGGGCTAGATTAGAACCCACACACAGACAAGTGATTAATTTATTGTTTAATATGATTCCTCTTCTTGCTGTCAGTGGTCCACCAGAGCAGACCTCTCCAAGGCTTCCTCACGCATGACATTGCATGTCTGGTGTTGGTGCCTTTGCCCAACTCGCACCATATGTGTCGGATATACTTCCTCTTCATTCTACCCTTAGAAGCCCTCACTTCCTTCAAGCCACCCAGCCCCAGTGCCACCTTCTGCATGAAACCTTTCCTCATCTCCCCCGCTGGCTGTGCCTTCTTTCCTTATTATCTGATATTTACACTTACAGCTGTCATGGCTGTTTCCCTGATGGAAGCTGAGCTCTTGGATGTCAAGGAGTTTTATCTGTATATTTATCTGTCATTTTATCTGTACATTCCAGATGTTTGGCATGGTACCTGGTATGCAATAGGTGCCCAATAAATGCTTGCTTGATTGAAAGCATATACAATTATACATATAATTCAGTGTACACAAAGTATATAGAATTTCTGGAGACAGAATACAGAACCTCCAGTAAGGGCTGGAGAAAAGTCTCCTGTAGGACAGGGCACCTTACCTGAGATAAGATTTGAAGACTTAGAAGTTATATATGCCTAGGTGGCAACTGGTGGCTCAGTGGATGAATCTCTGGGCCTGGAGTCAGGAAGACTTGAGTGCAGATCCAACTGCAGGCACTTTTTAGCTGTGCAACCTTGAGTAAGGCACTTAAACTCTGTTTGCTTCAGTTTTTTCATCTGTAAAATGGAGTTATTAATAGCACCAACCCCCCAACCCCACCCCAGGGTTGTGAGGATCGAATGAGATATTTGTAAAGTGCTTAGCCTAATGAATGGAACATGGCTGCTATATAAATGTTAGCATTATTATTATTATTATTATTATTATTATTATTATTATTATTATTATTATTATTATTAGGAAGAGATGCGTTCTAAGAGATAAAAAATATATTGGGGACCTCTTTGCAGAGGCATGAAAGTGGGAGAGGGAATGTTGTGTGTAGAATCTGAATAGTAGGTAGGTCTGATTGGAACATAAGCACGTGTGAAGAGGAGTAATCTGAGGTAATGGAAAAGTAGGTGGGAGCCATGGGGAGATGCCGTGACAGGCTGACTTCAGGGAAATTCCAACTCGGACCTTTGCTTTGGGAGGGAGGGAAAGAATTGTTAGTTTTGAAAAGAGGAAGTTTTTCACAGCCACTATAAATGAGTGATTTTTCTAAAATTCCATTAAAATGTCTTTTAATGAAATTTAAATTTAAGTGTGTATTAATAAAGGCATATAAATACATTTAAATTAAATTAAAGACATAAATTAATAAATTTAAATTAAATATAAATTAATAAAGACATTTAAAATGGCTTTTTTTTTAAACTAAGGGCCTAATCTTATAGGTTCTGATGTTGTTGCTGAATTGTGTCAGAGAGACACACAAATGAGTAGATGAATGTGGGTAGTAAGGCCAGGGAGAGCCTTCTTGGTCTGTGGGAGAAAGTGAACAATTCTCCCTCTCAGAGCTTTGAGAACCCTCTCAATAATAGTATTTTTCTTTTTCTTCTTTTTTGCACTTAATAGTATTTTACTTTTTCCAATTACATGTATATGTAAAGATAATTTTCAACATTCATTTTGGTAAGATTTTGAGTTCCAAACTTTTCTCCCTCTCTCTTTTCCCTCCCCAAAATGGCAAGCAATCTGATACAGGTTATATGTGTACAATCACGTGAAACATATTTCCACATTAGTCATGTTGAATGACAGTATTTTTCCACCAGGAGGTAGGTAGCACAGTGGAAAGACCATATTGGAGCATCCTTTAATCTTCTCTTCTCCAAAATGAGGCATTTCGTCTAAGATCTCTTCCATCTCTAGAGTCATAATCCTGTGATGCTCTAATCAATGCTATTGATAGGAGTGTGGATTCAATTAAAGGAGAGCATTAGGAGGTGGGGGACAGAACTGGAGGGTGTTAGGCAGCTGACGAGGCTAAGCAGTAGGTGACACGTGTTCATTTTCTTCGTAGTCAGGTCTCAGACCCAGGTTTGGGGTCAGACATTTTTTGGCCAAAACATTAAAAGGACAGAGCTCAGAAGTTATGCAGAGGTTGCCCTGAGAAAAGTGGGTGGGGGCTGCCTTCACTAGGCTTCCAAGTTTCTTGAGTGTAGGGGCCACAGCCTTTGACGCTCCTTCTGGGTAGCAGGCCCAGGGTGGGCACTCACTGCCACAGCAAATCCCTGTGTGGTGTGACCAGAGAAGACCTCAGAGAGACAGAGGGCTTCTGGACAGGTGCGTAGAGGCCCTCTAAATAACTATGATCTCTGCAGCCTGGGACAGGCCTGTGCAGAACTAGTTACAGATTAATAAACACACTCACTGTGTGACCCTGGGCAAGTCACTTAACCCCATTGCCTAGCCAAAAAAAAAAAACAAACCCCAAAACAAAAAAAAACCACATTAATAAATATTTTGGGGGGTGGAAACCCTTTTTTGTCTTGTAGCTGCTATTTATCAGTAGTTTATCTCCTAGAAACACTCTGATTTAGAGGCATCCCCTCATGGAAGAACAAGCTTGCCAGTGTCCTCAGCTCCGGTCTGCCTCTGTTGTGGCAGAATGAATTTGTGTGTGTGTGTGTGTGTGTGTGTGTGTATGGAGAGCTCTAAATATACACATATATTGTTCAGACTTTTACATATACATATGTGTGTGTATATATATATATATATATATATATATATATATATATATATATATACGTACACAATACATAAGCATACCTATATCTATGTATATACACACAACTGCATGCATATGTGTATATATGCATACATAAATGCGTACATATATGTCTAGCCATATTTTCCCTCCACTGCCTTCCCATTTATTTTGTGTGTTTTCACCCTGTCTTTGGAAAGCAAAGAGCTCTTGAGATTATTGCAGCCTTTTGGCTGCCTCAATGAAAACATTAGAGGTGTGGAAGGGTTTCTCTTTGGCCTCATTGACCTTTCTTTCTCCTTGTCTGCTCAGTGAGCCCCTCCATCAGATGGGAGTTGGGCCAGGTAATTCTTGCCTTCCTAGAAAGGCCTGTTGGCCTGGTCCGCGGTCCAGGAGTGAAGCTCCCTTGCATAACTTCTCTGCCTTACTCAGGGCAATTGGGGGCTCCATGGCTGTTGGATTTCATGGCTACATTGATGGCAAGACCATAATTTACTAATGACAAAACTGAGGCCTAAGGAAGTTAAGGGATTGACCCAAGGTCACACAGTAACCATCAGAGGCAGGAGTTGAATGAGGTCATAGGAGCATAGACTTAGAACTGGAAGGGCCCTCACAGGCCATCTAATCCAGCATTGCCACCCCATTTTTCATATGTGGAAACTGAGGCCCACCTGGGTCATCCAAGTAATAAGTTTCATAGGTGGGCTTTGAACCCAAGGGCCAAAGGGCTCTTTTCACTACACCACACTGCTTTCTCCCTGCTGTGCACCCCCACCCAAGATGTCCGCTTCAACTTGTTAAACATGTTTTATTGGTAATTTAATTAATTTAGAATATTTAGATAATTTAATAAGAATCTTGGATAATTAGATAAATTGATAATTTGGGTAATGATAATTATTGATAATTGTTTACACTTTTTCACCAACAGCAATGATAACAGTTGACATTTGCATAGACTTTGCTTTATATCTGTTCTCTCATTTGCTTATTACAGTTTCAGGGTGCCTGGCCAAGTCTCTAAGCCTATAGGTAATAAATGAGGTCCCTCAGTGCAGGGCGTTCTTTAACACTGATGAAATCGTAGATCCTAACCCTCTCTTCCCCAGACAAAATAAAGTGGAAAAAAGAGAACATTTTAAAGTAAGAGGTGTTGGGGCAGCTAGGTGGCGCAGTGGAAAGAGCACCAGCCCTGG